GAACAACTGTCACAAAGCCAAGTCAGTGTAAAGCGGTAAAGCTCCTCACAGTGATAACCGGTGTGCGGAGCTCGCCGCACTGAGGGACAGACCGGTTCAGGCAAGTTTGTCCAACAAGAGTTACCCCTCTTTGTCCATAAGACACGGGTGTAACTTTAGGCATTCGTGTTTGTCAGGGAGTCCATATGAATCTGTAAGAGACGGGACTGATCCACAGACATCAAAGTCATATAACGTCACGAAGACTTATAGGGGCTGAACCACGTGGTCAAATGAGCAACTTTTGACCCGATCACCTTCTCGCCAGTACTAGTAGTCTACATGAAACTTGTACTAATGTTTCCACAACTTCCCAACAAAGCAAGATGTGCCATTTGCGTATGTCACCAACCGAGTTATCATGCATGCGATCATGCGCAGGAATTCGTAACTACCTACAGATAGACATGCCTACTCGTTATTGGCACATGTATTTCCTTTTATCTCGTGGGATGCGATATGTAGTCCTCACCATTTGAAATAGAATCACGAAATATCACGATGATTAATTAACGAAGATAGCTGCATGTGTGCTATAAATATTTAGAAAGTGGAAACAAGCCATTCCGCCGATAAGGAATGTCACTTACAGTATTGACAAAAAATGCAAAGTTCTCTTTTTGTGAAATGTTTATTTCTTAGCGATAAACATCATCACTAAGTTCAGATCACGTGGTTACAAGTTGAGTTAGAATCGACGGTCAGGTGACTGAGCGCGGTTATATTTAGAAGTGGCCTTGGTCGGTCGGGATATAAATACTACAACTGCACGCACTTTTCTTTCAGTTCATGCTGGTAATGTCCGTACGCTGCACAAGCTGCTAAATATAACAATATGGATAATACGCCGATTTATTACCCACGTGGTGAAGATACAGGTGGTAAGATACTAAATCCGTACGTCACACGTGTGTCGTACAAGGTTGACCTTGTTTTATTCGTTTTGATTGGATAACCGTGACCTCTGGCACACCGGGACTACTTTTTTCATTCATAAAAAATCGCGAGACGTCATTCATTTTGCGATTACAAGGCAGACCTGAAGAAATTCATGAGAACGAGAGATATTTACAAACACTTTATTAAACCAAACAAGATAGTCACACGCATCAAATTCGGTTTGCATTCTATATAAGTTATGCATAGAGGTCCTACAGACATATAATCGAGCTAGATCTATAAATCGATTTACAATGTACGACCGCCGATCGAGCGCGTCCCTTGAGCGTGACGCACCCGACCATTTTCGCAACTTTCAATTTGATTTAACGTAAAAGGATAGGCGTGGTGAAATGAAGTCTGTTTAAACTATCTGGACAGATATCTAGACTTACTTGGGATGATCCGGTTGTGCCATCGGTGTCCCCCTTGAAGCGTATTTTGTGGCGCTGTTTCGGGAGGTGTTGTTCATGAATGAACGAACACGACAGCACGACCAGATCACTTAAGGTTCACAGTTCCGATACAAATCATTCGAAAACTCCGTGGAAGTGTGCTTGACTTCTGATTTTGTGGCCCCAAACATCCCAAATGTGAACAGTAACATTCCCTATCTCTAGCGTAAAACGCTCTGAGTGGATTGCGGTTGTCTTTTCTTATTCTGTTGGCGACCTTGCCCTTCGATCGTTCGAAGCTGTCACTGACATGCAAGCAGATTTGAGTTTGTTGATTTTCACGTCTTCAGTATATAGGGTGGTACAGTTAACATGAATGTCTTTGGCGAACAGTCTGATTTCCCTCTTCCAAAATGGTACGGACATGATATAAATTCAGCGGATAGATCAAGGAAACCGAACCATTTTGATTGCACAGACGGGACCCCGGCAGTGTGATGCGTGTGACTGTTGGTCCGATATTCGAAGCGCGGCGCTAATGTGACATTTCAAATTTTCTTATCGGTGCCCTGAGTACTAACAACATGGCGCTTGAATTACCATAAGTTGAAGACTTTCTTCCAAAAGGATCTTGAGCGTCGGTGCTGGTTTGTTTGCAAACAGAACAGCAGGCGCATGTTGTTAATGCGTATGCATAAACATGTCAACAATGCCCATATTTGGTCATATATCAATATTCATGCGCAACCAGATTTTGCAACCGGTTTCAGTTTGGTCTGTCAACGAACGAAAGTTGTTATGTATTTACACTTAAATATGTATTTAACGTGGGTAATAAATAAAATACCACACTCATTCTCGTTAGATACCATTTTTACGAAACTCGTGAACTTTCTATGGTATCTAACGAGAATGAGTGTAGTATTCTCTATTTATTACCCATAGCGTAAGAACTAACCGAGTTCATAAAAAATTGTTCATGTCCACTAGTGCAAATATCACTTCAAGTGGACCAGTGTTCGTCTTGTCTACGTCATCTGCACGGCATTGTTGACGTCATTCATATGTTACTGTGACGTAAGGTCGAAATGACATCACGCTAGAAACGACGCCATAGCTGAAGATTGTTTACGCCATATCACAATTGTGGTTTTCTGAGAAGGCGGTCGTGATCAGTGCACTTTACTCAAGGTTCTACTACACCAAATCAGAACCAGTTGGGACAGTGCTGTTTTTGTGGCCTTCAGTGCAGATCGAGAGATATCTGCAGGCTGTGATTGGAAGATATTCTGTAAGATTTTTATCATGTCTTTTAAATGTACATCCATCCAGTTATTAAAACATGATGACCTGTGCACACACGTACAGGTAATAGCTGTTGAATGCTTGGTTATTTACAAAAATATATATAACGTTACTATATAAGTCTATGGGAAAACATTTGGTTGTGTGTAACCTCAAGGGCATCTTCCCGAGGCAAGGGAGTTAACTGACCATATAAATCCAGTTTCCACCTTAACTAACAATATAGATCCAGTTTCCACGTGGAAACTGGACTTATTTAGTCAGTTAACTCCCTTGTCTCGGGAAGATGGCTCAAGGGGATCTCAGAAGGATTAGAAATAATGGGTAATAAAGATAGTGTTATCTCAACCATAGCTGAACAGCTAATAAAGCTTTTAAGCCATCCCTTTGGCATCTTTCTACGTACGGTTTGCATTCCATGTTTTACCACTAAGAGCAAATAAGTCAGTTCCATTATGTACAGAACACGACAACATCATCAACGTATATCCGGAATGTTTCATTAGAGCGGCCATTCAACAGCAAGATCTATTTCCGTCATCCAATCAATGTGTGAATGATAACATGGCACATAGTGGACTTTGTTACACATGCAAACTCCACACTTGTCTGTGTCCGATAGATGTGTGGAGCTACATCCTCCATTATCCAGTGTATCCTATCTTCAGTCTATTATGATAGAACCATTCACTACCATCGCTTCATTTTGAGCCCGATTCAAATGGAACGACGCTAGAAATAGCAGTTCAATCAAAGTACTCCCACAAGCGAGATATATCTGTGCTAAAGTACAGATAGGAGCGATGGAGATGGTGACAGAAACAAAGCTACAGACGCGAATGCTTCAAGAGCTTTTACGATAATAGAATGGAGATATGGTACACTGGATAACCGAAGATGATACAGCTAATAAATTACTTCACCAAAGACGTATTGTATATATCTGATTTCAATTAGATTGAATGTTTTCTTTTTTCATTTATCACTTTCGAAATATTACGATTTTTTCTCATCGCAAATTTATTTATAATTATTCACAGTATTGAAGATGAGGTGCATCTTCTGATAACTTGTAACCATTAAGAATACATGTTTTGAACCGCGCCTTGTCTATGAACCCCAAATTCATATCCTTGTCCCCAGTAGACCAGACCCCATTCATTATGCAGTGTGGTTATTTATCAACTTCTGCAGCTGCACTCATCAATAACATCTTCAACATGACTCAAACTATATTGCCTTTAAACATCTACTATTTTACTATTAAAAATTATTTTAAGACATGTTATTTCTATCAGGTATACAGTCAACATATAACATGTATTATTTTTAGTGCATTTGGTATGTTTGACCGTAACACGGTTGTAAGTGAGCCCAAGTGAGCAGGGTAATGTATACTAGTGTTTTGTCATGTGTCATGACGCTTGACTAGTTATTTTTTCCATTTTCTTTCTTTTCTCTATATTGTCTATATTATATTGCACATAATGTCTTTCCGTCTCTGATTATATCTGATGTAATCGCTGTTCTCCGAGGGCAGCAGAGGTCTGTGGTACCCAAACAGGACGTTAGTCACAAACAGCTATTTACAGACATTAATTGTTATATTAATTATTCACAAAGTCAAGATCAAATGTCGTTTCACACACGTTTTGCCAACAAGAACTTGTTCCATTTTTCTCGGACAGACTGAAACCTTTGAAAGCCAGCATCGTAGACTTAGTACACATTCCAGCTATACATGTTTGTTTGTTTGTTGTTTAATGCCGCACTCAGAAAACTCGACTCTGGACTATACAATCCAGTGATTGACATCATGAACATCGATCAACACAATTGGGATACGATGACATGCATCAACCAAGTCAGCGAGCCTGACCACCCGATCCCTTTAGTCGCCTCTTACGACAAGCATAGTTTCCTCTTACGACAAGCATAGTCACCTTTTACGAACTACACACGTACACGTGTTGACCATTTCCGCCAAAAAAATAAAAAATCAAATCAAATAAATTCGGCATAGCTGCTACACACCACATGGTAGATTATACAAAAATTATTATATGAGCATGTGTGTCATACTCATTTTATGAAACGAGTGTCAGAATTCTTACACGAGTTTTGTAAAATTAGTATGACAACGATGCAAGTGTCATCATTTCTTTATTACCATTATTTCTTTATCATTTTGAGCTCCCCCTTAGAAAAATGCACCGATCACGACCGCTGTCTAAAAAACACAATTGTTAAATGACGTCAACAATCTCCAGCTATGACGTCATTTCTAGTATGACGTCATTCCGACCTTACGTAACAATAAGATTCGGTTGACGTCAACAAAACTTTGTTGCGTGTGAAGTAATATTTGCACTAGTGCGCAGACGGTTTTCATGAAGTCGGCTATTTTTAACCCTCGGGGTAATAGACGCTGCAACCAAGTCTACATATCAGTCCATGAAGAGATTGGTCAGGCAGCGCTGCGCCCCCCAACAGGTTTGTTTAAGAAGCCGAATACGGTAGGTCACGTGATTTCAGCAATTTCACTTAGGCATTTAAAATATTCTCTACGAATGTTATGATTTCGAAAAATGTCTCGAAAACTGACCTCATGTATCCAGGAAAATGGATTTTCTAACAATATCGCTATTTTTTCAGTTGCCCTATGGATGTAAGCTTCCTTAATTGTTTCCCCGGGTGGTCTTGTAAATTAAGTGACTCCGAGGAGAAATAAAGAGAAACCCAACTGAAATTATAGACCATTGAAAATCTCCACCATCTAATTACACCTACATCAAAATCCAAGAACCTTATTTACCTAATAAAGACCTGCAAGTCCATTTTCCTCTGATTCGCGGAGAACAATGCAGGTGACGTCACTCTCGGATCAAGTCAAAACCACGTTGTTCTATTTTCTATCGATCAAGGGGCCTTGAAGTTTGAGTCCAGTGCTCTGTTCTGTGTTTGTTATAGTCATGGTATGCCAATCAAACGATTGCGTCGTAATGAGAAAAACATTGATTTGTCATAAAGAGACCATATTTGTAATTTTAACGGAATTTACATGTCAGTCCCACATCTGAACGCCACGCTTGGACACCCTCGGGCGCTCGATATCCGGAGACCACCAGGTTGTGTTTTCGCAGTGGATAGATGGAAGTCTGCAGCCCACTTCAGGATAACACATTTCACAAGTGCATCCGAAACTGTGACGTAGATCCGTAAAACAGTCACTGGGAGATTGAGACATCTCAAAGTGGCGGGACTTCCTTTCCCGCAGAACAACAGTCTGGTTAAACGAGGCACTTGACCTCCGCGATAGTGAGAGCTTATTGGATAACCAGAAATATAATACTGTATTGATTTATTAAATAAACACTAATTTGTTAGTAAGCGATTTTGATATATGGCTATACGCCTAGCGGTCCGGATTTGGTTAGAGATATAAAACGTAACCAACGATAAATGAAATGTATAGGGCTATTGGCCTCTTTCCCCCTGTCCTCATCTGGCTTGGCAAATGTGCGCGTGGGGAGTGGGTGAAGGTTAGGGGGACCTTATTCGAGCTTGGAGCGCCACTGCTGGGACATCACTTGAACATTTATTCCGATACGATGCCCCTCTCTCCCTCCCCCACCCCCCCCCCCCCCCCCCCCCCCCCCCACCCCCTCTCTCTCTCTGTGCGTGCATGCAATCTTATATCCGGGATGAACACGACTGCGCAATGTTGTTTTTTATTGAAAACTAAACTAACTACAGGATTTAGTTCATAGTTTGCCATAAAAAAACTGAAAATCGTTAAATATACATTTTGTTATTTATAATATGGTTGTTGCAGTATCCCTTGAATGGGTGGCGGATGTATATTGCTAAATATTTTTCAATTTTAATAACGAAAATGTGATATTAAACACTCTACGTTTAATACTGGAAACGTTGTGTACAAATTATAGGACACTTAGCAAGTGCACTATTTACAGTGTATTATATAGTAAAGTACTTGTTGTATATAGTAAGTTTTGAAAAAAAGAATTCATATACCAATTTTCGATCTAAGAATGATTATATTAACGGTGTTGTACACCTCAAATGATTGACATGTCACCGACAATTGTGATCAATTACATCCAGTTTGCTTTGACAATGATCAGATGATGACAATAATTTCTCAAAGTTTCCATATTTGAAAATTATGATGTTTTTTCAAATTCTCACAGAGGAAGATGGAACAGGGAAGACGGCGACATCATCTCGCATCTGTTATGAGCTTTCATTCGAGGGTGAGAGAGAGTGGAAACTCAGGAGATTTAGAAATTAATTCGCCTGAGAAGCCGGAGTTGTGCCTCGGGCTCCACGTCAGTGTTTACTGCGCTGTGAGGAGCGGCCAGGATTCACTTGGTGGAAGATGGCATGCTTGATTACCTCAGCATCGCTGTTTCACTGCCAGGTCTAGAAAAAAACAGATTTATAAAAAGAAGTGTATTAAATTGTCGTCACTGCATCTTCCTTGAAAGTGAGAGAAGATGAATCATACGTTAGAATAGAACGCGAACGCCGCCTCATCAATCCATTTAGAGAAGGATGTCTGCTTGATGTTTTTCAGTTGCACTGAAATGAGTGTTACATTTCTTTTGTTGACTCCAGGAAGGCCTCGTCTCTCCACCTGTTTGTTACTCCTTCCCACGTGCACGAACACCCCTAGATTGTTTCACCATTCCATTACGGCCTAGATCAACAGGGAGCCCCCCCCGTATTCCATCACGGCCTAGATCAACAGGGAGCCCACCCCCATTCCATCATGGCCTTGATCGACAGGGTGCCCACCCCCATTCCATCATGGCCTAGATAAACAGGGTGCCCACCCCCATTCCATCACGGCCAAGATCAACAGGGAGCCCGCCCCCATTCCATCACGGCCTAGATCAACAGGGATCCCACCCCCATTCCATCATGGCCAAGATCAACAGGGAGCCCACCCCCATTCCATCACGGCCAAGATCAACAGGGAGCCCGCCCCCATTCCATCATGGCCTAGATCAACAGGGAGCCCACCCTCATTCCATCACGGCCTAGATCAACAGGGAGCCCACCCCCATTCCATCATGGCCAAGATCGACAGGGAGCCCACCCCCATTCCATCACGGCCTAGATCAACAGGGAGCCCACCCCCATTCCATCACGGCCAAGATCAACAGGGATCCCACCCCCATTCCATCACGGCCAAGATCAACAGGGAGCCCACCCCCCCCCCCCACCCCCCATTCCATCATGGCCAAGATCAACAGGGAGCCCCCCCCCCCATTCCATCATGGCCAAGATCAACAGGGAGCCCCTCCCCATTCCATCATGGCCAAGATCAACAGGGAGCCCACCCCCATTCCATCATGGCCTAGGTCAACAGGGAGCCCACCCCCATTCCATCACGGCCTAGATCAACAGGGAGCCCACCCCCATTCCATCATGGCCTAGATCAACAGGGAGCCCACCCCCATTCCATCATGGCCCACATCAACAGGGAGCCCACCCCCATTCCATCACGGCCTAGATCAACAGGGAGCCCACCCCCATTCCATCATGGCCCACATCAACAGGGAGCCCACCCCCATTCCATCACGGCCTAGATCAACAGGGAGCCCACCCCCCATTCCATCATGGCCTAGATCAACAGGGAGCCCACCCCCATTCCATCATGGCCAAGATCGACAGGGAGACCGCCCCCATTCCATCATGGCCTAGATCAACAGGGAGCCCACCCCCATTCCATCATGGCCTAGATCAACAGGGAGCCCACCCCCATTCCATCATGGCCAAGATCGACAGGGAGCCCACCCCCATTCCATCATGGCCTAGATCAACAGGGAGCCCACCCCCATTCCATCATGGCCTAGGTCAACAGGGAGCCCACCCCCATTCCATCATGGCCTAGATCAACAGGGAGCCCGCCCCCATTCCATCATGGCCTAGATCAACAGGGAGCCCACCCCCCATTCCATCATGGCCTAGGTCAACAGGGAGCCCACCCCCATTCCATCAAGGCCAAGATCGACAGGGAGTCCACCCCCATTCCATCATGGCCAAGATCAACAGGGTGCCCACCCCCATTCCATCACGGCCTAGATCAACAGGGAGACCCTCTCCATTCCATCATGGCCAAGATCAACAGGGAGCCCACCCCGCATTCTATCACGACCTAGATTAATAGGGAGACAACCCCTATTCCATCACACTCTAGATTAGCAAGGAACCCCTCCCTCAATCCATCCCGGCCTAACTTACAAAGGAAGCCTTCCCCGAGTCCACGCAGGCCGAGATAACCATATATAGAATCCGCCCCCCTTTGCACCCCGAGCTTAATCCCCATCCCATATTCCGTCACTTAATCCACACTGATTAGGTTTTTTGTCAAGAGTAAGATGACTAAAGCCCTATTTGCATGCACAACTTTTCCTCACGTTTGCAAAATTACACAATTTTACTTTTACTCACGTGTGCAAAAAATACACAAATTTGGCACACGTGATTAAAGTAAAATTACCATGCGTTCGCAAGGTGTTAGTCAGGTGTTGTATATTGAGGACAGTAAATGCAAAATCTACATCTTCAGCATCGTTGTGTAGCACGTATTCAACATAGAGAGTCGTATTTCACATTGCAGAACACCAAGGAGACAATTTCCTTACCAGCTTGGTTTGACAATACTGGCTGGCATATATTAAGACAAATCTGTATGGACGATCGACAGAGATACGGCTTGGTGGGAAAGTATGTACCATAATCGTATTGACGATGAATGGTGTGCTAATTGTCGTGCACACACACGGAAACACACACACACAGAAACACACACACACAGAAACACACACACACACACACACACACACACACACACACACACACACACACACACACACACACACACACACGCACGCACGCACGCACGCACGCACGCACGCACGCACGCACGCACGCACCCACCCACACACACATGTTGGCTGAAGTCAAGGAGCACCTGAAACTAAGTGACAACTCGGTGAGAGAACCAGTGGGGGAAAAGGTTTGAATCAGCGGAGTATACAATAGCGAGGAAAGTGGAACTTTCCAAACTGTGACGGACGGACCTCATGACATGACAAAACTACACATGTGTGCATATCTTACATACGTATATATATATTTGCATTGGAATGTAAACAGGTGCTTGCGAACAGGGCATAAAATGCTCAAGAACTTGACTAGTATCTTTGCAGCAAAACGAGAGTCTGTCAATCCCAACCCCATCTCCATTCGGTATCTCGCCCAATTCAACTTCTGTACCTTACCCCATGTCCACAATTTTCTTCATCCTAAACCACCCAATCTACCAATACCCATTCCAAACGAAATACCCCAATCCCTTTTCACGCCAATAATATTACCCACCCCCTTCTCCCCCGTGCTGCGATTGTTGGCACTCATGTATCTCAGCTATATTTTAGGTGCTGACAATTGGTAAAAGGCAGACCAAGAGATGATGGGTGCATCCTATCTTGTCTAACTTTGGGAGCCCATGCTCGATGCTCGTTTGACGAGGGAATTGGAACTTGATTCCAGCAGATTTCAAGATTATTTTCAACTAACTTCACAACAGTTTGATTAACTTCTACAACTCGTTGGAAGACCTTTGTGAAAATACATGCAATTTCTCCCAGAGAAAGATTGGCAATTTGTATCAGATTTGTATCTGCATATCTTGGGATATTGCACGTGGTCCTGTGCACAGCGCACGGGTCACAAATCAGGTCACCCATCCAGAATAGTTGGATGGGTGAGAACGTTCGGCAGCTTGACTCCCGAGGGTCCCTATGGTTCGGTCCTGTCCCACACTGAAGCACACATATGTCGGCTCTCCCTTGGCACGTAGTGACTTTATTCGAAATGTGCCTCTGTTCACCCAGCTGTATAATTGGGTACCCGGAAGGAAGAGATGGTATTGTGGCTGTCAGCTGTCTATCGTGCCGTCTGAGGCAGTCTGAGTTGTGAGAATGAAAAGCGAGAGCACACTGATCCATTGACCGGGGTAATAATGTTAGCGATTTGAGCATGCACCGCGTGTATGGTGTCTAGCGCAATAGAAACACACGCCATTAATTTTATTATTATCATACTAATTTATCACACAACAAAAGACAACACGAAAACGAAAGAAATACCAGTTTCGACAGCTGCTGCGTCGCCCTTACAATCTTTCGATTTTGGTTCCATTTGAAAGTATGGCCTCTCACGTCGGCTTTTAAAACTGCAAGGTGTATCTAAATCACTAGACTGAAATTACATGTCTTAGGAAAAAGAGAGTTATATTTAGTCTCACTGCAGCGATTATATTATGCGATGCGAATTAAAAGCCCCTCTGTTTGATATAATGGCAACGCAGGACAAATCACAAACCAGCACAAAAACGCAATCCCATTGACGCTGTCAGTGCCTTATAACATAATATCACTTGATGCATAAAATCGCAATCACAGACCGTATTCGCAAATGCAAACGGAGGCGAAAGTGGTGATTGACTGATTGAGTGAGTGAGTGAGTGAGTGAATGAGTGAGTGAGTATGGTTTGACGCCGCTTTTAGCAATATTCTAGTAATATCACGGCGGGGGACACAAGAAATGGGCTTCACACAATGTACCCATGTCGGGAATCGAACCCGGGTCTTCGGCGTGACGAGCGAACGCTTTCAACCACTAGGCTACCCGACCGCCCCTGCGAAAGTGGTGACAATGAGTTTTTAGTATATGGTATATGGTTTCTGATTTAAACTAAATATTTGTCACTATTATAAAATGTCGATTTCCTGAAATAACTACATGTAACTGTATATAACAATTGAAAACTACTCTCCGAACTGTGAAGGTCGTTTCCAGGACAATGACCTTCACCTTGACCTCCCGGTGTCATAATTGTTTGATTTCTGGGTTTCCGTGTTCGAGCGTTTTCTTTAGCCGACCGAGATAAGAGTATGGATCCAGGCCCAAGGCTTTGACGTTTTAATCATATATTTGACACAAGACAACACAATTCAAAACAATATTGAGAGCATCCCACCTACCCATCAATCCCCTTGGATCAGCATGAGTGTTATAGCTGCCGCCGGCAAAGGCAACGACAGCCTCGACCGGATATAAATTGACGATTGAGCCTCAGGATCTCTTACCTACACTCAGTCTGTCTATTTGTACAAACAGCGTTTAACAAACGATTTGCCAAACATCTGTGTATTTTTATGAGTCGATTAACGGTAGTGCTGACGAAAACAATTACATGAGTACTTTGTTCATGCAGACACTAACGTCTGCATGGATGCACGCTGCAGTGCTTATTGCGGTCAAATTGTGTGTGAAGCACGTGTCACAGTCTAATCGTGTTTTAAACACGTGTCATAGTCTAATCGTATTTTAAGCACGTGTCTTAGTCTGATCGTGTTTCAAACACGTGTCATAGTCTAATCGTGTTTCA